ACGTCCCGTCTGTGCCCACCTCTCCTTTCCTCCCATTCAATCTTTCAGGCAGCCCAGCAGGAGGGTCAGTCCCACACCTTGCCCTGGAGCCAGGGAAATGGGAACACAGGTGAGACTGGGACAAGGACTGGAAGTTTCCACTAGTGCTTGCTTTAAGCCACTTAGTTTAAAGGAAATAAAAATAGTGGAAGGCACCCTAACTTCACTCTTTTCCACCCATCTTTTCCCCTATGTGTGCTCTGACGTGGCACTCATCCCCAGGATGAGCACTCCCAAAACTCTCCCAGGCATGAAGCAGTTAGTTTTGTACCCAAGGCAAGACAGATTCTTCTACCTGAATGATAAAACTTTCCCTCTTTCTCCTATTTTCTTCCGAATCATCAGGAAACCTAAATAGCATCCTGTTAATAATGTTAGAGGTTTATATGAGAGACTGGTTCAGCACTGTTACCTTGTGCCAGCTCAGACCCCAACATTTGCAAACACCACAACAGTCAAGGTCTGCTCTTGGCCACACTGCTGCGGAAATGCTGGCTGTAAAAAAAAAAATCTTTCTTGAAATTCCAATACTAATACATTTCTTAATGACAGCCTGAAAGAACAGGAAAAACAGTCGGTAAATGCTAACAGTCCCAGTAGCATTAAAGCACTGTAGATAAAGCTGCTTTTTGCCAAGTTTGACCACTCCACCACTGCTCCTCTTCCCTCTCAACACCTACTCTATCCCACAGCACTCTACCCGTGGTGATACTGCTGGGTACAAGTTTTACTGAAACATGGGATCTGAGGTTTTCAGTGAAGAAAACAGGATGGGGACAGAATTCCTTTTTTTTTTTTTTTTTTTTTTTTTTTTTAAATGTGCTGCTTCTCACAAGCTTCCCCTTGAGAAGGAGCTTCTTTGAAATAAAAACACTTTGCAAAAGGCATTATTGCTCCTCATTAGGTGTCTTCTGGGTTATTCAATGTAAATTTGATGCTGAAGAGGAGAGGTTCTTGAAGACACCACTTCCTCCTCACCACAAAGCTTTCTCCAAGAAGGACCACCTGATGTGATGAAAGGGGCAGTGCTGTTTGTTTTCTCCTCTGCATACAATGGTGAGATTGAATATTTGGCTCTGGTTTAGCTGCTACACAAGTAAATAACCTGGACATTTAATTACTACTGCAGCACCTTGCTGGTACACAACGAACTTTGTCATAAAAAGCACTGGAGAGGAGCAGGAGACAAAGACTAGGAAGTAACAGTGAATTTGCCTCTCCACACCACCAAACACTTCCAGTGTGACAAAAACCAGCAGCAGAGCCTCTACACTCCCTTAAGCACTGCTGTACCTGGCTCACAGCCTGCCTTCCACCTTCTTTCCAGAAAAAAAACCCTCTTGGATTCACACAATACTTACCAAGCAAAAAAAAATACATCTTGATACGCACATCCTCTTATAACCACGATGGGCATGTTCCTCAGCTGGCATAAATCAGCCTAACAGGGGACTGTGGTACACAGCTTCACCTGGGGGTTGTGTGTTCCCAGCGCTTGTGCAGAGGAAGAGCCAAACCCATCTGCCAGCTGGGTGGTGTTTGCAGTTCCGGCAGAGCCCGGTTGGCAGCTGAGTTGCCACACAAATTGTGCTGAAGACTTCTGTGTGCGACACAGAAAAAAAATGATGGCTCTCTGTGCTCCAGCGTAAAAGTGACACCCCATTAGAGAGTCTGGGGCTTTAGGGCTCCCAGCAGAAATCAAACCACAACTTTCCATTTTCCACTCAGAAATCAAAAAGAAACTTTTTTTTTTTTTTTTTTTTTTAAGCAACTGCTTGTGTGAGCAATGATTTTATTGTGCTATTAATATGATCATAAACAAGAACAAGATGTGTTTATAGGCTCAAGTGCTCCATTACTCACTCGCTGACTTGGTAAAAATCACCGTGGCATCAGTATAAAGTGCAAAATGGAACAGATCATTGCAGTCATGTTGTAAAATCATCTGGGCAGGTGACCTTTGAACAAAGGCAATTGATAGCTCTGAGGCAGCTGTACAACAACAGTAAAGATAATAGTTGTCCGCAAGCCACCAGACCTGTAGGGGAGCAAATACACACCATGCCTGGGAAGGGGAGACAACACCAAGGGGACTGAGAGAAGTTTGGGAAAGGGAAGTAAAAGTTGATCTCTGAAGTGTGTCTGTGAACCAGCTTTGTTTGGGGATGGGGCAGGTGGGTGAGCCTGGTCACAGAAGGTGGACGTCACAGGTCTGGTCACAGCATGGGCAGGCTCCGACCAGAGGCAGCTCTTGCCCGTAATCTCCAGATCACCTGGGGCTCTGGTTCTCCTAGACCTCAGATTTGGGTCAGATCTCCCCCATTGATGCCACTCCAACCATTCGAACTCCTGCAAGCATGCGGGTTGAGCTGGGCTGTGCAACCAGCACCCAGAGGCTGTAGGAGCAGGACCGAGGGTGTAACATGAGCTGGGATGACCCAAACTCTCCTGTGGTCTTTGTTCATACCTATTGATGAAAATGCTCCTCTTTTCCATGTAATAAGGGGTACAAAGGGACATGGACCCCCTAGGGTAGGTCTTCAAATGGCAGGTTGGGCAGGCAATGGTTTGAAGGTGCGTGGGTCCCCCTGGATGTGGCTGCTGCAAGGTTGGGACCTGCACAGGGTGAGGTTCCCGGCGTGCTGGCTCCTCTTGGGGATGCAAGGGCCGGGAGGAAAGGAAGGGTCCCCTCTCCCGCAGGGCTGTGCAGACGGTGCTGCCTCTCCCATTACAGCTGACCAGGAGACAGAATTCTGTGGGGATGGCTCCTGCCTTGGGGATGGGAGCGAAAGATTGGAAGACACCCCCGAGAAACGAAAATCCAGCATTGTGGGTGATGCTGTTCAGTGAGTGCAGGGAGTGAGCAGGAAGGAAAAATTACACACGTCCTGGTTGTTTCACTTCTTGTCCCTCTGCCTTGTTTCGTCAGCCACCAGCCCCTGGAGCATCCCGACGCCCGGTCGACGGTTACCAACAGGCAATAAATAAAACCTCTGGAGCCACTGGTGTCAACATCTTGGCATTGTTTGGGTCTTCTTGTTTGCCTTTAAAATAACTCTCCCCCCCAGGGTCACGCAGACGAAAAAATGAGGACCCCCTGCCATCGTCCATAGAAATCATCTTGCTATGACTTGTGTTTTTTTTTTTTTTTTTTTTTTTTTTTTTTTTTTCTGCCTGCACAGCTTGGGGTTTGGGGAGTTGCCCAGGAGTGTTACTCATGCTACACCCAGGGCTCCCGCTCCCTCCTGCCTGCCTGTGTCCTGACACGTCACCTCGGGCGCCTGCAGGTCGCCTGAGCCCAGGACACATCACCCATTTTCCTGACTCCCAGAGGCACGGTCGGGGCTGGATTTGGGGACGGTGTCACCCTGCCAGTCCCATGCTGCTGGCTTATCTGCTGCATGGCTGTGCCCGGCTCTGATGTGGGTGTTGGCATGCCAGAGAGTGGAAAAACAAACGGTGGTGATGTGGATCTGTGGTGAGAACCTGGCCATGCAAACACGGTGTGCCACTGCCAAGCCCGGCGCTGGAGGGATGTCCCCTCTGTGACAGCCCCTGCCCTGATACTGGAGCTCGGCATGATCCAAGCTGCTGATGAAGCTCTGGAGGAACAAGAAACACTCCTCCAAAGACAGTTTTCCTCCATGGGCTTTGATAAAAAGGTGGCTTGAACCCATCCATGCCTGCACGTCAAGAGACCAGTCACAGAGCTATGGAGTACTGAGGGGGACCAATATTCCCCAGTGCCTGGAGCATCTCCTTTCCTCTAGCAAGGGGTACATGGTGGAAAGCATCTTCCTCCATCTCTGCTGAGTCGTGACTCGATGTCAGATTCACTCTCCCTCATCATCTTTAGCCTGTTGTTTATAATAAAAATCAAGTGATCCATCTCTTCTGACAAGAGGAAGAGTTGCTCCAGGAAGCCCTGGACAGGTCAACTTCTATATTAAGCAACTATTACTTGACAGCTTCCTGGCCATAAATAGCTGTCCAGCCAGGCTGGGGATTTTATTTAGAAATAACAAATAAAGCGGGCCATAGAATTAACTTCATAACCTTGCTCCCTCCTCATTCCCACCCAACTCCCCAACTTGGTATGGTGTTCTCCTCACCCCCAGACTCCTTGGGAGCTTCCAGGGCCCCCTTGCCGTGCCCCCAGCAGAGCATATCTGCCCATCGCCCACCTCCCCGCGGCAGCTCCGAGAAGCTGTAGGAACACGCTGTTGCCAGATTTTGGAAGACTGATATGGGTTTCGCATCACTGATGATCTTTTGCTACAGCTCATCTCCAAGAAATTGTTTTCTACTTGGCTTTCATTAAAATAATTAAAAAGGAATCTCTGCCCTGCATGGCTGAAAGCTGGAAATCCTCCATTCAAAACATCCCCAAAACTAGATGCAAACAAATATACTTCCAACACATCTTATTTTTCAGTCCTTTAAACCCTTCTCTTGACTTTCGGAGGACTAACTTCTGATTTTCTAAAGCTCAGAGTTGGCAATATCAAACCCAACCAGGAAATACAAAAGAAAAACAGCATTTCAGTATTCTTTTATTATTGGGAGGTTTTGACCATTTTTGTCATGTGGTTTGCCTAAAATAATAATAAAAAAGAATCTTTCTTTGGAGCTGGAAAGGGAAGAGCAGCGTGTTTATTTCATGTATGACTCATCAGCTCAGTGCTGATAGGCTAAACCCTTCAGAAGCTAACACTCTATAGAGCTGATCGTTTTTAATATAAAACAGTAAATGTTTAAAACAACCGTTGCTTTTTTTTTTTTTCCTCTTTTCTTCCTGTTGTGGCCAATAAAACATAAGAGAGGCCACACAGTTTACATTTTAATAAAATTAAGTTATTTGGTGCCATGTTATTACAGTCTTTATTGGAAAGTGGAATAAATTGCACACAGAGGAGTCATAGGAGGGAGAAATCACTGCGAATAAACATAGATTCTGGGATGCATTTATTTGCTGGTTTCATCTCAAAGGAGGAAGGCTTTCCCTGGGAAAACAGAGGCAACCCCGGGGCTCCGGCCTTGGGGAGGCACCCCTGCGTCACTCCAGCCAAGGATGAACTTTTTGGGGAGCTGGTGCCACAGCGGGGCCATCCCGGCCCCGTCCAGCCAACGTTTTCCACACGCATCCTCCAAGAGAAACCTGTCCTGCAGCCACAGCTTGACACCCCGCAGTCCCGAAGTGCTGGGGCAGCCTGGCCTCCTGCTCATCAGCCGTTTGCAGGGCCAGCCAAAAACGTTGGTCCCGAGGCTTTTTGCTGGATGTTGGGGGTTTCTAGGCGAGCGCCAGGGCACACCAGGAGTCCTGCCGGAGTGGCACACTCAGCCCGGGCTGCGAGGCCATGGTGGTGGGGGAGAAGGTGTAGTCCTCGGGCTCGAATTTGAACTCGTGGTTGCCGGCCAGTGCCTCGTCTGACTGGCTCTGTGCCTGCCCCAGGAAGAGAAGAAGCAAGTCGTTAGAAAACCTGTTATTAGCCAATGGGTCACTCTTCCCCTTGTCATAATGCGGTAGCTGGACTAGGATGGATTATGAACAGGGTGGGTTATCCCTGATGCTACTGCTGCCCTTCGGAGGAGCTCGGACTCGGGTAGGAAGGGTGCTCCATCCCCAGCGGGGAGGAGGCATCCTAGGGCCCATCTGCATTGATTTGTTGAATAAACATGTCCAGTTTGGAGACCTCTAGGCACGTGTATATTTTTTAAGAGCGCGGCACAAATCAGATTTATCGGTTTCAGCCAAAAATCCCCCTTTCCCATACGGCGCAGCTGGCGCCGTGCCAGTTCACTTGGCTGCTGGAGCTGAGCTTCCCCTCCATGCACACATGTCCAGCTCGGGGAGGGCTCAGGCCCGGCATAAGGATAGTGCTGGGTCACAAAATTTTGATGTGTGGGTTGTTTTAGAGCCATTTTTTTCCTCCACCAAGACAAAATAGCAACCCACCCCAAGGAAACCCTCGAGGCAGAAGCAACCTGGGGTCTCGGACAGAATTATAGCTCTGTGAGCGCTGAGAACCTCAGGGCTATAAAGTACAGATGATGTGTGCCCAGGGAGCTTTTTCTTGGGAGCTACAGAGGTTTCCACCCTGTGCTGATCCCACCAATTCAACAGGATTTTAACTTGCAGGATTTCATGGCAGGAGACAGGAAATAAACCCAGCTCCGTGCCAAAGCTGGTTCACTCCCTATCGCCTCCACGGCAGCAGGGCTTGGACCTCCCAGTTCCCCACTGCAAGACGGAAGAGCCGATGAGGAGCCAACAGGCTGGAGCCCTTCCTGGTCCGCAACATCTTGGCTGACACTCCCTGCTTTCCTCGCTCCGAGGCGGTCCATCAGGATAGTGGCCCCCAGTGCAATGAACTAATTGTTTAGCCTCATCAAGACCCCCCAGTCAGCGACTACCGAGGCGTGTGGAGCTTCCACCCCAGCAGGCAATGGCTGCGGGCCCCTGTGCCTTACCTGGGACACCGACACTATGGTTTGTCCGGGATACTGTGAGGTCGTGCTGGGCTCTGACTTTAAAGTGACCGTGCTGTCTGAGTTTGTAATGGAAGAAGGGGAGTTAGTGGCCGAAGTTGTAGACCCTGGAAGACAATCGGTACAGGACAATGAAGCAACATCGGTACAAATCTGCTCTTAAGGTAATTTATATTTTAATGGCTACCATCACATCTCATGGTACAACTCTACTGTTCTCTTTCTCCACTGCATCTCTGCCAAGGTAAGGCTTTGTATTTGGCTGCCAAGATGCTGATGGAGGAGGAGGAGGAGGAGCACCCTTTCGCAGCCGGGCAGTGCTGGTTCTGGTACAGGCCAGGTGGGCTAATGTTGAATTTGTCATGATACCTTCCCTTTGACTCCTTCATACACCATCCTCAGCCCTGTTTTTTTCCCATTACTCAATTTATCTCAGATCTACTTGAACACAAGCACTGCTGGGCTGGAGCCAGGTGCCTATAGGACAGAGGAACCTCACAGGAATACAACAGCACTGCGGTTTCCCACCCAGCCTCCTCCTTCCACATGAGGTCTACGCATAAATACAGGCCCTACATCCAAAGCAATCATCAGGGAGAAAAAAAAAAATCACAATATTGTTTTCTAATTATAATTTTTTGCAGAAGACATGTTGAGGTGAATTATGCTCCAAGCCCCCATGATGGATCGTGGCAGCACTGTACCTGTTGAGGTTTTGCCTTTGGTAATGTTTTTAGGCTTCCTTTTCCTCGTCTGGATGCTTTCCTTTTTCATGGCCAGAGGTCGTGGTACCTTGACATTCATAAAGTTTAGAATCATTAATACTGCAGTTTACTTAGTTCCTTCCCACACACATGTTGCTCTCCTATTTACATGCCGTAGTTCATGCAAAGCACCTAAAGTCCTTGTCCTTCACTAAGTGCTATTTTTCTCTGCAACAGGCCTTGGCTGGAAGATCTATAAGGCTAACAGCTAAAGCTTTCCCACAACTTTTGTTTTTTCCTTTATTTCCTATTTTCCTTTTCCTGATTTATTAGTGACCTTTATGACAGGGCCCTATTAAATTACACTGACAGACTGAGAGCCCACATGGCTCAGAGGGAATGGTCATGGGATAAAGAGACTTTACGGCAGAAGTTCGAAGAGGCCCGTATAGAGGGATGAAGTCTCCTCTTTGGCTGATGGACATGTTACCAACAGCTGATAAATGTTATCAGCTAGCCTCCACGTGGACTTCTGAGCATTCTTCACACATTCTTAACTACCACATCTATAAGAAATACGTTCCTTTTCTCCAGCCTGGGTTTGGGAAGCCTCAGTCTCCAGCTACTGGTGCCTGGTAAGCTTTGTTTCCGGAGAGTAACTTGGCAAAAAAACTTAATTAAGAGCCACCCAGTGCCAGAAATCTCTCCTCTACACAGGCACCTCCTGAGAATGTTCCAGTACCACTTTAGCCTTATTCTGGAGCACCTCAGTAGACTGAACTTTTAACTGTTCAAGGAGACAGGACTGGACTACGGCTCTTCTGGGTCCAGTCTAGAGGCTGGTCCCTCCAGACCTGATATCCTGGACCTGCTGGGCGGTGATCCCAGCACCCAAAGGGTCCCTCCCAGTGCAGACATGCTCCTCACCCCGTGGAGCTTCATGTACAACCCGCAGGCATTGCAGACAGGCTCCCCTTCGGCGTTCCTTCTCCAGAGGGTGGTATTGGTCGTGTGGCAGTTAGTGCAACATAGGCCAGCACGTCTAGATGAAGACTTAAAAACAAACAAACAAACAAATGCATGAATGCACACGTAGGAATGATTGATTGGGAAGTTTCCTTTCATACAAAAATAAAATCTCCAATTACACCAATTTCCTGGAAAATGTGAAACACACACGATAGCCAAATTCAGATCAAAGAAATTGCATTCAAATGAGGTCACTGCAATTTGCAAATGCTTTTCTTATTGAGCGTGATAAACCTGGCAAATATCCCTGCAACTCATTTCACAAACTTCCAACAAATCTGCTGGAAGTGATCAGGGCTCAGAGCACAGAGAACTTTCCTCCAGGAGATCCACTCAGATGGAGAAGGAGATGGAAAATGCCAGCCAGGCTTTAATCACACAAAGAAAACTCCTCCTGGTTAGGCAAACTCTTCACCTGTTTTTCTGCACTCAGAACCACCGCTAAAGTTAGCAACACCCCAATTAATCTCTGGTTTAAGACAACTGGAATCAATTGGCAGAACTGAGCAGAACCAAACTGAACTGGCCCGTGGTGGGACCAGGGAGGTTATTCTTTGCACGTCTCGCAGATAATCTGTTCTTTTACAGACTGCAGGAACACCGTGCAAACATTAATTAATGGCATATTTTGTGAGTGCAGTGATTGCTGGCTCTGAAACATTAATACTTCCAAATGGAGAAGGAAAATATTCTTGGCAGAAGCAGCAAACTAATTTCTGATAACGGTACTCCAAGCCACTGGAAAATTCACGTCTCTATATACAGACCTGTCATCTCAATAGGCATTTCATTTGAAAGTCTCTTAACACTAGGTATTGAAAGTATTTCAGTAAAAGACTTCACTGAATATAAGATACCAGTGACATAAGTAATATCAGAGGGTCTCCACATTCAGATGTTTGAATATGTTCTTCAGCCTTGAGGAAAATCACTTTGATTCCTCTCAAAGCAGACAATAGGTGATGCAGGCAATAAAGAACTCCCCGTTTGTTTATTCTTCCATTATTGCTCCATATCATGACTGAGCAATATAACGAATGAGGTGGGAAGAGTAGGAATAAAAATTAAATGTTTTTACAAGGCTAGCAGTCAAATAAAGATCAGCTTTGAGTTTCAAGAGACACAAGTGACATGCCCAAGCTTTGATTCACTCGTTGCTCTGCAAAGAGGTCTCAGCAACTATTCGCAAATAACGGTATTGCTTTGGAAATTATTTAGCTTTCAGGAAATAACCAGGCAAAAATAATAATACACCGAGGTGTGAGCTGACAAGCCTGGCACAGAGAAGGGGACAGCAATCCTTGTCCCTAATATAGGACGTGGTGTCACAGCGAGATCCTGGAGCTTCTTTAAAGCCTTTCAGCTGCTGGGGCTGTGCCCGTCATCCCTGCAACCAGGAGGGACCTCAGCCCCGATGGGAACAGAGGGAGGTTCGAACACCCACTGGGGGCAATGGCTCTGAGGTCCAGCTCCTGCTGTGGGTGCGGAGGGGAATTCGGAGGCACTCAGCCCTGGGGTAGCTGTGCCCGGCATGGGCCGGTGAGATCTGTCATCGCCTGCAGATGGAGGAAGGCCAACACAAAGCTCTTTGGAAAGCCCCAAGATTTCTGGGTCACCACAGGTCCCTGGGCAGGAGGGACACACTGTTCCTGTTTCATACAACGCTTTGTCCGTGGCTTGCAGGTGAGGTGGCAATGAGACCTGTAGCTCCGGCGGCCCAAGGGCAATGCTGGCCCTGCCAGAGCTCTGCCCACCCTGCCAGCACTGCATCGCAACCTGCTCGTGGGCTTTCTGCTGGGGCGGCAGCATGTGCCTTATGCATCTCCTGCACATCACTTTGTGGGCTGCCTCCTCCTCGCATAGCCAGGGAGAGCAGAAACCATCCTCCATGACCAAATATTACAACTTACACCCCAGAAACCCCATGAGAACCTGGCCCTGCACCACAACCTGCCAGCTTAGCAAGAAAAAGACAGTCAAGGCTACTGTTTCTCACTGAAGGACGAGGGTACAATACATTATTGCTGGTTTCCCAGCAGTTTCCCTTAAAAGAAAATGCATTTCTGCCTCCCTCCACCCGGCTGCCTTTGTACCACTCTGACCTTGTCTAGGAAGTTGTTGACTTCAACATTGTGCTCCAGTGTTTATTTATACAAATGCAGCATACACTCAAACAAAAACTCTTCACGGACCGGGCTTGACAGCCAAGTGCTGCTGATAAGCTCAAGGAATGGTGAGTCGGTGCCTATCGAATCAACTGTGTGTGAGTGCTGCTTGGAGCGCCCAAAAAATTCAGAGCCATCAGGGCAGGTCCATCTGAGGGAGCCCAAAGCTGTCACAGACTGCTTCACCTCCTTTTCAAACGTGGAAATGAAACCACAGGGTTTCACAGGAAAAAAAAAGAAGTCTCTGAACCCCCAGATTTAATCAACACTTCTCTGCCCCCCTTGTCAGCAGGACAGAGGAGACCTGGTGCTGACTGATAGGAAAGAGGCTGCAGCAGAGCATGATGAGATACCTGAGCTCAGCTCCTGAAAGAGGGCAGATCTGAGCCTCAGGGCTGAAGGCAGCAGCATCCTCTGAGATTTGTTACTATGGCTCTGGGGAAACCTGCCCCTTGGAGGATGAGGGAGTTTCAGGAGCTGACGGCCAGGAGAAAGCCAAGGCACACACCATGAACGCTGCATGGCTCTAGGATCCTATTAGATTGTCCCGGGGCTGTCGTCAATCCAATCTCCACCTTCCCCAAAAGCGTCACCAAACTCACTATGCATTGCAAACTGTAAAAAAGGACAGGCTGAAAGAATACTCCCTGAGCCAAGTCAACAAAACTCAACTCCAGGTAAGTCCTTCGACTCAGGACAGTGCGGGAGCTGCTGAGCACAGGGCGGCGGCTGCATCTGCCCTCAGTGCTGCACCACACCGCGAGCTCTGCTCCTAACGCGGGGGAATTGCACCCACAAGGATGGAGCCATCCTGCTCCCCCGGCTGCTCCTGGATGGTAAAAGTGATTTGGCTTTCAGGTCTGGGTCTAAGGTATCATCATGTGAAATGTGCCAAGAAACCTTGGCTAGAAAAGATACTGCCTAAGCTAAAGCGCTGCTTCCATCCTCCTCTGAGATAAATCCTTGCTGCCGAAAGCCACAGCGCTTTGTCTCCAGACACAGGCTCTAGCAAAATGTCTGTCCCTGCTGCACAGAGGATGTTGCCCTTATCTCAAAACAAGAAACACAAAAATGAACTGGAAACTACACTTCACTTGCTTGTCCTCTCCCACGCACAAGCAGGCTGAGCGCTACCGAGCTGCAGGACGTCACTCCCACAGTGTTGTCTGGGCCACATTGATTCCTCCAGGGCCTTCAGCAGGACTTTGCTTTGTGAAAACACAAGTCAGAATAACTCCCTGCGCGCCATCTACTTACAGAACAAAGGTCGTAATGTAAAGGACAAAAGCAACCATTTTTCCTTCCTGTGTCTGTATTTCTCCGTTCCTAGAGCAACGGGGTGTCACCGTGTTCAGTGCTCTGCTCCCCCCCAGCCCGCGCGGGTGAGGTTATGAGCAGGGAAGTCATCCCCCACCATGGAAATCATTTGGGGGAAGAAGCCACAGAGGTACAGGTCGCTCCCTCGGTGGTGGATTTGCAGAACACGCTTGGCACTCTCTTGTCCATTATCATCAGATCCCCGTTCCTCTGATGGGGCAACACTTGTTATGACATGACATTTCAAACCCTTGGAAAAATCCAAGACTTCCATTCCAGAGTCAGGATGGAAAGTCAAAATTGTGGCCCCGTTTCTAATCCATAAAACAAAATCCCCTCAAGTATTTCAACTGAAAGTTTTCCCCTGGATAAGAACAGCTCTTTCATTTGGGCTTTATCATTATTGTACTGATTCCCAAAATGATAATAAAAAAAAAGTGGAAATGCTTTGATAACGCCCATCAAGATTTGCTCATCCCTGAGACACGGTCTTAATTCTGAGAACCAGCGTTCTCCACCAGAAAACTTTGTTGAAATATTTGCCAAAAAATGCCTCACAGGTGCTATGTGCGGGGCTCTGCAGGCAGTGACAGAGGAGCAGGCAGGGAGCTCAGGGTGCAGGCAACGCAAGGCTGTCTCCCTTCCCACGCACCCAAACAAAACACTGAGTAACAGCGAGACCTCTCCAATTCCTTTGAGGGAAAGCTGTTCAAAAAACCCTTGGAAATTCATCCGGCACCACATTTTGATGCTAGTCCAAAATGTAGAGTTGGATTAAAACTGGTTTGCACCTATCTCTTTGTGCATGGATTGTATCTGCTCTGAAGAAATCAGCAGCGTAACTCCGAGATTTGCAGCACAGCAGTGACCAGAGCCTGCTGCCGGGGTGCAGATTTACTGTCATTATTTTAAAAGAGACCAGGAGGGTTTTGGTAAAACAGGCAAAGCCTGTCAGATAATGCTAAATGTCACAGAAACGCCTCAATTTTGATGTGATGAACGAAACGGGATGATTTTCCACAGAGCCGCTGCTCATTTAATTTTGCAAATCCAGAGCCACGTTTCTGCATTTGGAATCAGAATGAAACATCTTGTTCAATCCCAACTAATATATATATATATATATATATATATATATTATAATATATATATTATATATATATTAAATATATATATTATAATATATATATAAGCTTTTCTTACACAGAAACTTGTCATTGCTGGTTACTGCTAATAATTTGTTTTGCAATACAAAAAAAAAAAACCCAACTGCGGGAATACACCCCAGTGAAAGCAAAAGGAGCTCCCAGCTGTTCCCCAGCACGCTCCAGCAAACATCCTGTTTGTAATGACGGCTTTTGACGACAGGCTCTGAAACTAAAACTGTTACCACCAAATTTAAACATCCCAAAGCGACTCTCCAAAAAAAAAAAAAAAAAAAAAAAAAAAAAAAAAAAAAAAAAAAA